TATGATGAGCCTAGGTACTAAAATAGAAAAGAACTGAGAAAAGTATTAATTTGGTTTGCTATATACATCATACGCAATTTGTATAAGCAACAATTGATGAATAACACACCTGAATTCACAATGAATTCAATTAGAGAAAATATTTTTAAAATTACGAAATAGAAAAGTAATACAAATAGGTATTGATATAATTTACTAACCGAATCCTACTTAACAGTTAAATAACAAGTATTGTATATAATTCAGTTCTGAGAGATATTTACATGTGCAGATGCAGACATATTTCTTTTTTTGAGAACAAGACAAGTTCTTTCTCACTATGTTAACATAAAAGGCCACTCTTGCTCACACTAAGAAAACAGTTACATCAATTTCACATACTACTTGATCCATACTGCACAGAACATAATTTAGTAATTATTTTTCCCTAAGTTCAATTAGAATTATGAGAAAAACCCTCTTATTTCATGTCCACTATTAGAACTTAGTATACTTTATTAAATACTACATTTATGAATTGTATAAGTTCCATCAATAAACAATTCAATACAGGAGACAATTGCTTCATATTTTACTATACATAATATTAAAACTCTAAATTTATGCTATATATATATATATATATATATCAGTAACAGCCTCATATTATTTTAATTATTATTATAGAACACTTGATAAATCATGTAATTTATATATATATATATATATATATATATATATATATATATAATTTATTGATTAAGGTGGCTCTTTGTATAAATGTTTTCAAATTTCCATACTCCCAGGGGCTCAAATGCTTCCAAATGGATATAAAAAGAATTCTCTGACGGTTTTTGCTCTTAATATTAACTTTAAGATAGTCCGCACTCCAACCAAAGTTTCTAGGTTCTTCTTCCTAAGTAAATACTTATTTTTAAAAATATAGCAAATTTTTGTTGTATTTTTTTATTTATGATCAAAAAAAGCAAATATAATGTTATTCTCAAAATATTGATTCACTTATCGCTAAGTTATAAAATTGTCAAAAACAAATGGACACTTTGTTAAGTTATTGTTAAGAGCTTGAACTTTGAGATTTTTTTTTATCATTTTGCAAGCATTTGAGCCCAAAAAAGCAACAAAATTCAATTATATTATATAAATAAATATATATATATATATATATATATATATATATATATATATAATATACTGTTTGATTGATATGTATGGGACATTTTATTGGCCAATACATTGAATACAAAATAATTAAAGCACTAAATTATGATGACAGATACTCATTGTAGAAATTATTGCTATTAATAAATTAATCCTAAATTAGTACATTTTTTTATTCAACGTTGGCGAATAAAATGTCCCAAATATATATATATATATATATATATATATATATATATATATATATATACGAGGTGTGTTCAAAAAGTACCCGGAATTACTAATAATTAAATTTCGCGGGTCTGGAGTGTCTGATTGTCAAAAATTTTTTTTATTGTGTTGGTATACATGCCCCTAAAGTATGATGAAATTTTCAGCTATATTCACTGTTTACTTTGTCTGTGGTAGTCGCTAAGGTTCGACGTGTTTTTCTGAGCTCGGCGATTTTTACAATGGAAGAATTGAAAAGTCAAAGAATTTGTATTAAATTTTGCGTAAAAAATGAAATAAAGTGTTGCAAAGTGCAAAAATTCACCAGATATGGCTCCGTGTGACTTTTTCCTATTCCCAAAGTTGAAGAGACCCATGAAAGGACGGCGGTTTTCCTCGATTGAAGAAAATCGCTGAGAGTGCTCAAGGACATATCAAAAAGTGAATATCAAGGGTGCTTCGAAAATTGGAAAAAACGCTGGCATAAGTGTATTATATCTGGGGGGGACTACTTTGAAGGGGACCACATTAATGTAGACGAATAAATAAATATTTTTTTGAAAAAACAAAAATTCCGGGTACTTTTTGAACAGACCTCGTATATATGTGTGTGTGTGTGTGTGTTTAATTCGAGTGAAGTTGGGCGTTACATTAATAAAAATAGTATGAGAGTTTTTTAAAAATTTATTTATTTAAAATCCATACTTTAGCTAGCATCTTAGCTTTCATTCAGTGGCAATCAACATAACTATAACAATTAAAATTAAATAAATAATATGTAAGAAATTTCATAAAAAAACAATAATAATAATTAAAAAAAACATTATTACTCCATGTGATGAGTATGTGCACAGTGGTAAAATATATATTTTTTAACATCAAAATGAAAACACACAAATAAACATGAATAACTTTTCATAATTTGACAAAACTATGTATTTACTATTCGGGGTCTAAGATAGAAATGTCACATTTTTTCTTAAAGCAGTTCTATCTTAGACTCCGAATAGTAAATACATAGTTTCGACAACTTGTGTCATGTCTTGCCATTTGTAATGTTGAAAAATATATATTTTAGCACTGTGCACATACTCATACCATGGAGTAATAATGTTTTCATCTGTTCAATTAGGATACGGAATTGTGAGTGTTTTTCTAAAAAATTTCTTATGTATTATTTATTTAGTTTTAATTTTCATATGAATGAACTCTAAGATGCTAGCTGAAACATATAGATTTTAAATGAATTTCTAAAAACTCTCATACTATTTACATAAGAGCATGGGAAAAATTTTGAAAATTTAAAAAAAATGTTTTAAGTATAACTTAGCGACAAATGAATGAGTTTTATTCATTATTTGATGGTATTTGAGGATATAAATATATATATATATATATATATATATATATATATATAGAATTTTGTGATATGAGTGGAACAAATATTAAATGTTAAATATGAACAATACAACACACAGATTTTTAACACACATTTTATTCAATAATTACAGACGTTTCGAGACCATGGTATGCCTCATCTTCAGTGTAATTTCAAAAACAGTTACTTATATACTACACATTCTTATATAAAAAAAACACCAACTATTCCTGGCAAAGCTTGACACAGTACTAAAAAACATGTGACACTTACAAAAATATTCTAAACAAATCTTAAGTATCTAGATGGAGAAGAGAATGGGTATTATTATAATGTAAACAAAAGGAGTGCGAGTGCGTACAAAAATCAACAAATATGAAAACAGATTAATTTATTGAAGAGAATAAGATAAATGAAAAAATTATAAATTATTAATGATGTTTATATAAAAGTCGTGTAAAATATTTGTGTCGGTTCTCAGATTTACGCTATTGTTAGTCCGAACTATTAACATTGATTCTGCCAAGCTCCGTTTCTCTATCTAGATACTTACAATTTGTTTAGAATATTTTCGTGTCACATGTTTTTTAGTGTCAAGCATTGCAAGGAATAGTTGATGTTTTTTGTATATCAAAAATTAAATGTAATTTAAATAAAATATTAAAGAATGTGTAGTATATAAGTGACTGTTCTTGAATTTACACTGAAGGAGAGGCATACCATAGTCTCGAAATGGCTGTAATTATTAAATAATGTGTGCGTTAAAAATCTAAGTGTTGTATTGTTCATATTTAACATTTAATATATATATATATATATATATATATATATATATATGTATATATATAATATATTTACATACATTATGCAGATATAGTTACTTATATAGCACTATTTGCACCAATTGCTATAATCTATTTTCGGATCTCATCAGAATTATTTTGCATGCAACTGTTTCAGTCATTTTTACATACACATTAGTAGATTTTACCAGTAGTTCAATCTTGTTAAATTGATAAATTCACATTTTTAATATAAACATTTATTAACCAAAATGAAATAGTACTCAAGCAAATGCATATTCTGATAGAATGTAATAATATAAAACAATATATAAAACTCGGAAGAAAATGTTCATTTCCATAATTTACACCAGCAATATCAAATTTCAAATTCTTATTTGCTATGTTTATATATCTTTGGAATATGCTAGCAAAATAGAAATATTCATGATTGAAATTCTATTTTGCCAATTGATATTTTGTTTCAATATATATATATATATTTGCAGAGTCTTATTTTAATTAAAATATTCTACCATTTATATTTAAATAAATAAAATGGTGTAATTTATGCATTTCAATACAAATTCAAATAAACTATTACTTCTGTTTTGATAATGATAGTAGATATGCAAATAAAAACTGTTGCAGCAAATTTCTAGTTCCAAGATAACCATGTACTTCAAAAATGAAAATATTCAGCTTAAAACTTTTTCATTAGCTTTGGCTAGAATGCTATAAAAATGTTAATGACTAATAGTACAGATAGTAAATTATGAATTTAGTCGAAAACTGTAAACTTATAAGCATATTATCAATATATGGATCAATTAAAATAAAATATACTTAATAGAAAAAAATACAAATACCACTTTATTTCAAAATCACATGATCAATAATTTCATACTAACAATTCATATAAAGAACGTAATTAGCTTATCAAAACAAAAGTTAATATGTACAAAACATAATATTATAAGTATGCTTATAAGCTTAATGTAGATCTTGGAATAAAATCTGTTTAAATTTTAAATATGCTTAATTCATGATAAATATAATAGATGATTAAAAGAAATTATTATAAATGAATAAAAGAAATCATTTCTGATATTTATTACATTATAAAAATATCACAAAACAAAGGTTATGAAACCTGTTTCATAGTTGACAAATAAAAGTTGAGACTAACAAAAGAAATATGATGAATAAAAGAAAAAAATATAAAATTAATTCACATAGAATGAAATTATATATTTTTTTTAATGTGAGGTTAAAAAAGTAGTCAACAAATTTGATATTAGTCATGAAATAAAAAAGTCAAATTATATAATCAATAAATAACTAATAAACAAAATTCTTCAAGTAATTGTATATTTGATTACTCCTAAAAATTTATAGAATGATGAAACATTACGTCACACACTTTGTTCAAGAATAACATTGAGAAATCCAATTTGAAAGAATGCCTATACTTTTGTGATGTGGAAGACTGTATAAATGATGCTTTGTATATTTAAGTATGTGAGTTAATACACAATGCTATTTGAATAAATACCCATTGAAAATGTCATCACGTACAAATGAAACTTGTAAAAAACTACCAATAAGTAATCAAATATTCAAAATCAAACAGAATAATCGATGGTCTACAACAAGCAAACAAACAAAACAGCAGGACGGCGTTGTTTCATTCAGAGGTAATCTCCTTGAGGTAGCATGCTCTGCAAACTCGTACAGCCTTTGCCATGCCGTACCGGGGTAGAGGTGTGGAAGTTGCGCTACAAGTACCGCAAAAAACTCCGCCGCACCGACGGCAATGGTGACGTCGTCTGAAGGCGGTGAACATTGCACTACAGGACATGCACTGCGGGGCCGAACTATCCGGAACCCATGAAGGAGGTGACATGGTACCATGGAAATTTGATACTAAAACGAGTTCAAATATTATTATTTATTTTAGAACATTAATTTTTATGAAGTAGATAAATTAACCAATATTCACTTTGAAACTTATTGCTTTATTATTTTAATGCAGTTTTGCTGCATCAATGTATAACAAATAATGCAAAACTTGGAACCAAAAAAAGTTATTAGCAAATAAGTTAGTACCTTCATCTTGATTTCGTAGTGTAATAAGAGATAAAGTAGATGGAATACTAGAAACAACATGTTCTTCTGGACTTCCACTATTGCTAATTCTAGCCAGTCTATCTATATGCCCGGTACTGCTTCCGGCTGCGTGATTTGCTGTTCTCATGCCGCCGTTATTCCGAAGGTTATCACAAAAACTACTCGACCGCTCTCTTACTGCTACATGTTCCGTTTGTGAAGTTGGAACTGGTGCTACTTCTGGAGAAGTCATGCTCTGACTTCTCTCGTTTCTAACTAATCGATCGTCTTCAACGATATTGCTGCTTCCGCTGCTGTTACTAGAAGAATCTATAACAACTTCGTGAGCTGAATAAATACTCTGATTGCTACCGCCACTTTGCACGATATCTGTTTCCGACGCTCGATATTCAAATGACGCGTTGGAATTTTGCTCTGAACTAGCGCTGCTGCTGCAACCGCTACATTGGGCCATCGTACTGCTTGAAGTACCAGATTCTTGCTCATTGTTTGGTGTGGTATTCATAAGAAATACACTACGTAAAATTTGGCGTAAATCGCTTGCAAAGTTGGTTTGAAGCTGATCAGCTACTCCCGCTATACAAACAAATAGTCTATGCAGAAGATCTTCAGTAGAACTAAAATATAAAAAAATGTTGATATAGAAATTAAAGCAAAGAATTTAAATTATTTGTTGAATATCAGTATTTGTTTGAAGTTTTAAAATATAATAATATATAAGATAAATAGGAAATATAATAATATATAATACATAGCATGGGACGTACCTAAATCGAGTGCGTTCAGCAGTTCGAATAGCTCGTGCAACTCTTCTACGAATTTCCATTTCATCATCGGTATCGTATAAGATATCTGCGGCAAAATTACTTGCACAAGGCACACAACGATATGCTGAATCACTACTTGACACATTAGAATTTTTTTTATCAAGGGTTTCTTTTGAACGTTTAGCAGCACTAGATTCATTTATAGATCTATTAATATTATCACTAACATTCTTATTTAAAATTCCATCGACTAAAGTTTTGACTTCATTACTTTGCTTAATAAGTTCTGCTTTAACACCACTTGGCCCTTCACCTAAATCTAAGTTATCACAATTCGAATTATTTACATGTTTATTGGCTGAGGTGATTTGCAAAACATTATTACTAGAATTTTCACTTTCCACTTGAATGGATTCAGACTTATCTTTGTAAAGCTGCTTCCAATTGTCATTGTACTTCGATTCCAAATCAATGACATTTGTTGAACTCTGTTCAGATTCTGGTGTCCGATCTAAACTTGTATTTCCGGTTGATATTCCAGAATCCGCGGGTGCTTGAGAAGTTTGTTCATTTGGTAAATCAGTCGCGTCAACCATTTTTTGTCCTTCCTGCACCAAATCTCTTAGATTCTCATAAGAATTAGTACCGTATTGCTCATCACATAAAGTAGAATCAAATGGATTTACAGTTGATTCGTCAGAAGATAAAAAACTATTGCTCAGCAAGGATTCAGTTTGAAGCAAAGTACCAAAATTTGCATTGGGTATCAAATAACCACTGGCACAGTCTTGAATCATGTTATTATCACATTGAATATCAGATTTGGCATCTAAATCCTGCATCGTATCACTACTCCAATCAGATTGATCATCAACAAGAGAATAAAAGCTTGATATCACTACTTTATTAGATGATGCGTCAGAAGAATATTCACCCACTAATTCATTATTGTCATAACTCAAACCATTGCCATTGCTCACACTTAATTCTTCGTTCGTGCACAATAGCTTTTCCAATTGATATAATTCTTTTCTATTTAAAGTCCACAAAAAATCTCGAATTTTTGTAAGTAAATTTTTAAACGGCCTGAACATTTCCGACATATTTTCAGGTGGTTGATCGACATTGAGAGGACCACTAGTAAACACAACTAAACCACTCACAATAGCTAAACGCGGTATAGAGAACATTAAAGCCGGATCAAAACTATCTACTTGCTCTTGATTAAGGAGTCCAATTTTGAGAGCACGGTGCAAAGTTTCAGAGAACAGGACACAGATCATTTCTTGTATTTCGAACTCTTGCTTAGATTTGACGGGAACCATTGCGCTGACATAGAGCAACTCGAACTCGGCGAAGAGTTTGTCGAATATTTTGAGACTCTCATAGAGCATTTCCGTCAATATGTCATTAGCATCCAGTTTCAATGGACCGTTTGGCGTATTGTTCCGAAGGCATTGTTCGCGCAAAAGATTCCGCACGTTGTCCAAACTTTTGGTGACTGCTTTGGCAAGGGGGCGCATGGCGGCGCTCTCGACTTCGCGATTCATTATCGATGAGCCAGCTGCGAGACACTAGTTGAAAAATAAAAAAAAATTAGGTCATTTTCGTGATGATATTTGTGTACATTTATTGTAACAACTATTATCACTGATACAAAAGCAATAATATGAATATTCAATGGTATTTGGGTATGCGCTTAAATTGCAACATAAAGGTAACAGACAGTCATCAGACACAGATGTAACAGTACATCAGACTTCAATCAGCGAGATCATAGCCCTACGTGTATATACAGTGGTGTCACAACAATATTTAGAACTATTTTGATCTATCACGACTTAGTAAAAAATTCAAAAAGTTAAATATTTGAAACATTTACTACAATATCTTCTTCACTAAATTTCTCTGAACTAAATAATAGTCTTGTTCTGTTCTTACCCATGGGTAATATAATTTGTTAATTTATATTAATTGAACGTTATTCAAATAAAATAATTGTCTACAAACTGAGGTTAAATTATAAATACTAATAAATTAAAATTACCTTTACGACATTATAAATAGTGAATATTATAATAGATAATATTATTCACTTTCAAACTCCACAGTTCGATTATTAAATCAGCTCTGCAAATCTCGGATCATAAGCAACCGGAATGCTTACCGATAAATAAATAACATGAAGCAGTAACCATGATAACCGGAAAACGGGGTAAGGCTACTTTCAAAAATATACGGCTCATATTATTTTACTAATAACTTTATATAGTTGGGGATCATTGTACACCTATAATATTTCTAAGAAAAATTGTACAGATTTGCAACTATACATTTTCATACAATAAAAATATAAATACAAAATTACAATTATTAACCAAATGTTAAAAATAATATATTATATTAAAAATTCACCTCAGCACCGAACCAAAGCTGTCCGCCCAGGCTGTCCTGCAAAACTTCCTCGGGGAATTTAACTCGAAATTCACGCGGAGCTCGATCATTTCCCAGAATCTCGTCCATGATTTGCCCCGTTATAGCCAAAACACGATCCTAAATCAATTAAGATGTAGTATATTCAAATTGTTATTTTGCATGTTTTCAATTAAGCAACATCAATGTTTTCGCATGCATAGTGCTTTCAACGGTTCAATCTACAGAATAGAAGTAGAATAATTCTTCGTATTTTTCATACAAAATGAATATAAATCTTTCATTTCAAGTGACAAATTTAAAAATATTACCAATAACGAGTGAGTGTGGTCAAAGAAATAAAGTAGATTTGAGATTTTTTGTATCACAAATAATATAAAACAAAGTACAAAACACAATCGCGTCTTATTCGATCAGTTGCATGTAAGTAAGAACACAAATATAGCTATATTATACGAAATACATTTTCTTCTATATAAACTTATCCAACATCGAATCAATCACCAATGGGTAAACCTTCGACCGTTTTTTCCTTTATTTAATAAATCAGCAAAATTACTGAATGTTGTATAAGAACGACAGATTATAATTCTTAAATGTAAATAAAAAGAAAAAACATTTTCTTCTAAAACTAAAACGCTTGAAAATACGGAACTTCAGTATATTCTTAAAATTTCAATAAAATAATGTTTCGAATAATGTTAAAGCGGGCGCTAGGTTCACTGAAAAACTGATGCTGTACCAATAGAACGTATCAACCTTCAAACGATACCTGTCAAATTTTCATGACAATCGGAAGATTAGTTCACAAGTTACAGAGGCTCAAGTCACGATACTTTGGAATTTTTGGAAAACTATAAATTAAAAGCAATTTTGTGTTGATTTATCATTGCTTTCTGATGAATAACTAGTGATGCATGGCATCGTGCCTTACGACAAATTGCTGTAACATCCCGTACCCGAATTATATATTCGAGGAAAAATCAGTAATAAACTAGCTGTAAGTGGAATTCTGTCTTAAGGCAATTAAGGCATCGTGCCTTAAGGCAAATTGCTGGAACTTCCCGTACCAAAAATTATTTTTTTAAAAACGATTAACATTTTTGAAAAAAATTGACTTCAAAAAAATAAGATTTTTGACAAACAATTAAACAAAAAATTACTTTTTTTTGAAAAAAAAATGTTTTCTTTATTTTGACATATTTTGAAAGATCTAAACTTTTTTTCAAAGCAATCGTACTGCTTTAACTGCATAAAGACGAAATATCAAACCGCGTAAGCTCCGCGTCGACGTCTAACGCGTAAACATTGGTACGGAACCCATAGGAATGTAAACCAAAATTATACTTATTGTTAAAATCTCTATAAAATATCTGATAATTTGATGTGCATATGTCTAATGATCATTTTTGACCGCCAAATGGCATTTTTTTTTTACTTTTTTTATTAGATCTCCGAAACCGCTAGACCTGCCTTTATGAAAATTTGATCGGTATTTCACCTTGTCAATACAAGTAAAATGTTTTTTGAATTATTAAAATCGGACGCTCCGTTCTCTTAAAAACTGAGTTACCGTTTTCGGCACTTTTTGCCCCGTATCTTCGGAACGGCTAGACCTGACTTCGCCAAAAACTAATCAGCACGTCTCCTTATCAATACGAATCGAATGTTTTTTGAATTATTCAAATCGGTTGATCGGTGTTCCCGAAATCGTCGACGAAAATTTGTATCCGCACATACATACACACACGCACACACACACACACACACACACACACATACATCCATTTTTTCTAAAGTATGCCAAAATATTCAGAAACCTTTGAAACGTCGAGAAATGCAAAAATTTTCATTTTCGATTTTTTTGCGATTACTATAACTTACCCTACGGGAAGTTAATAAAAATTGATCAATGATTTACAACAATTGTGTTATACATTTTCAAATAGATAATTATAATCACTATATATTTTATCGTTCATAAAATATACAGTGAGGATCCTATCGCTCAAAGCACTTGATAAAGTTTACATTAGCAGGAGGTGAATGAATGAATCCATCTGAGGATATATTTCTTACGATTAGAATAACGCATTTGAAATATATACATTTTTAAACTAAATTGTAAATTTAAAATTCATATTTGAAGTATAAAACTTTGTATATTTTTAAAAATTTTAAAATCTTTTTTTTCGAAAAATTTTGAAATTTGCTTGAACCGTATAAGTAAATTTTAAAAATTAAAAATCTTGGTACGGAACCCCACAAAATTGTAACAAAAAAATAGTACTTATTTTTTAAAAAAATAATCAAATATCTGATAATTTGAGGTGAATACGTCATGTTCATTTTTGATCACCAAATATCTTTTATTTTTTCCTCTGTATCTCCGAAACAGCTAGAACTGCCTTGCCAAAAATTATTCATTTCGTCATTACAAGTAAAATGTTTCTTGAATCATCCAAATCGAGTACTCCGTTCTCTCAAAAATTGAATAACCGTTTTTGGCACTTTATTCCCCATATCTCCGAAACTGCTAAACTTTCTACACCAAAAACTAATCAGCACGTCTGCTTATCAATAGAAATCGAATGTTTTCCATTCAAATTGGTTGATTTGTGCGCCCGAAATCGTGGACGAACAATTGCATCTAAACATACATACATACTACATACACTGTGTACATCCATTTTTAATGAGGTATGCCAAAATGTTCAAAAACCTTTGAAAATTAAAGATATGCAAAAATTTTCATTTTCGATTTTTTTGCGATTACTGTAACTTACCCTAAGGGAAGTTAAAAATACCGTCACAGCCAAGTTATCGCTTGATAAGTGTTATCTGAACAATCTGGTGCAGAAGTGGTTTGTTGATTTTAATCGTGGCCATATAGACAGTGACAATGCCGAATGCTCTGGAAGGCCAATTGTAGTGGTTACAACGGAAAATAGCAACTAGTGGGGCGCATGGCATCGTGCCTTAAGGCAAATTGCTGTAACTTCCCGTACCGTAATTAAAAATACGAGGAATGAAAATAATCAATAATTGTTTTAAATAATTTCAAATATGTTGTTTATTATAAATTCATACTGTAAATTTATATGTGCTTATTGGACGACGAGCGTATTCTACAAACAACTTATGTGTATGCTCACAAGATTTTTTTTTAAATTTGATTTTTTTGATAATTTGAAAATTTAAAAATGTTTGAAAATTTCCGTTTTTTTTGAAAATTTCGAAATATTCTCAAATTTTTGTAAGAAAACGTTTTTTTTTAAATTTAGATGTTTTTCAAATTTTTCGAATTTTAGATATTCTTTTCAAAATGATGAAAAATTTCATAAATTTGAGTTTTCTGAAAATTTAATTTTTTTTTGAAAATTTAGATTTTTTTTTTTGGAAATTTTCAAAACAACGAAATTTTTTATAAAACCATTTATTGCACACCGTCTACATAAGCAAAAAGTTTTATGAATTAATCTAATCGAATGATCCGTTCTCTCAAAAACTGCATGACCATTTTAACACCCTTTGCGCTCCATACCTGCGGAACGGCAGGATGTGCATTTTGCAAAAACGGCTCGCGATCGAGTACAAACCGAATCATTTTTCAATTTTATAAATAGGTCATACCATACTGTCGAAAATGTCGAGGACATTTGCTTGAACCTTATAAATAAACTTCAAAATTAAAAATCTTGGTACGGAACCCAAAATAATTGACACAAAATGTGTACACATTATTAAAATCTCTATAAAATATCTGATAATTTGATGTGCATATGCCTAGTGAACATTTTTACCGCCAAATTACATTTAAAAAAAATATTGAGAATCCATAACCGTTAGACCTGCCTTTCCAAAAATTTTATCAGTTCTTCGTTTAATCAATACGAATAAAATGGTTTTTAAATTATTCAAATCGGACGCTCCGTTCTCTCAAAAACTGAACTACAATTTTTGGTTCTTTCTGCCCCGTATCTTTGAAACGACTTGACCTGCATATGCCAAAAACTAATCAGCACGTTTCCTTACCAATACGAATCAAATGTTTTTTAAATTATTCATATCAGTTATTCCATACTGTCGAAAATGTCGAGGATATTTATTTGAACCATATACGTGAAATATAAAATTAAAAATCTTGGTACAAAACCCAAAACAATTTACAAAAAATGTGTACATATTATTAAAATCTCTATAAAATATCTGATAATTTGATGTACATATGTCCAATGAATATTTTTGACCGCCAAATGGCATTTTTTTTAAACATATTTTTATTGAGAGTCCATAACCGCTAGATCTGCAAATTTAATCAGTTATTCATTTTGTCAATAGAAGTAAAATGTTTTTTGAATTTTTAAAATCGTACGCTCCGTTCTCTTAAAATCCGTGTTACTGTTTTTGGCGAATTTTACGGTTTATTATAATTGCATGAAAAGCTTACAAAAGTATACAGAAAATTAAATAATTGCTTATTTAAACCATTCATAATCGAGACTCTAATGTGCGTTTGTGGAATCAAAAAAATGTCTTACATTTTAATCAAGATTTAGAAGCAAAAATGGAATCGGGCTGTAAACCAACAGAAATCTCAAAACTACGAAGGACCGTAATTGGATCGAGCAAATTTAGCAAGATTCCTCGCGAAGAAGGTCGGACCAATATGTTTACATCGGAAACGATTTCGCTGCGTTCAACTTCATCAGTTTCTGACTCAATGCAGAAAGTATTATCGTCTAGTAATAATGCATTTACAAGTCTCTCTCATCCACAATCTGATGTCAAGAAACCTCCTAATTCATGGCAAGTAGTCAATTTCAAAAAAAGAAAAACATCATTTGAACCATTAGGAATAGATGTCAAAATTCAAAACAGATTTTCGGCCCTTTCAACAATAGACACAGCTAATGATGACAACTCAGTTAAACCGGCTCCAGTCAGTAAGCCCCCTCCAATATTTATTTACGGAGTTGACGATATTAATGATATGTCAAATCAATTAAATGAAATAATTCCGCACGATCAATATTTCCTGAGAAGTTTAGCTAACAATACATTTAAAATCCTATGTAATTCTGTAGACCATTTTCGAACTTTATCCAGACATCTAAAAG